CGATGTGTGAGACAAGGTAGGCGAACGTCGGCTTCGGGTCTTTCATGCCCATGTCTGGCAGTGAATGCAACATCAAGGAACGCAAGGCCACTAAAAGACTCTTGGGACACACCCTGGAACGTGCTCCAGGGGCTCAGGCGAATGGCGACTTTGTTTACGCCGATCGCTTTCACTACGGACTCAATGATCTCGAACGCGAAGCGGCACCTGTTCTCGACAGAGCCACCGTATTCATCTGTGCGCTTGTTTGACACGTCCTGCAGGAATTGGTCAATGAGATACCCGTTCGCGCCGTGCAGCTCGACGCCGTCGAAGCCCGCACGGATGGCGTTGGTTGCGGCGGCAGTGTACAGTTGAACATATTCATGGATCTCTGCACGGAGGATCGCATCAGTAAGAGTGATGAAGCTGCAGAAGGCTGACCTGGGATGGTCAGCGGCCGGGGTTTCGCCGTCCCATCGGCTATAGGGATGTCGGAGGCAGAGCAGACGTCAAAGCCGTCCTGCTCCAGGACAGACGGGGTGGCAGCCCTGCCTAAGGCCCACAGTTGGCAGAAGATGCGTGAACCCTTGGCGTGAACAGCGTCTGTAACCTAATTCAGCAGGTATACAGCGTTAGCACGAGCGAATGGACGACATAATGGACGTACGCGTTTCCAAGCCACGACTTGTTCATCATTCCAGATACCAGGCACGTTATCGTATCCTCCTGCCTTTGCGGCAATGACGGTGGCCTCTGTGACCAGGAGCGTACCAGGCACAGACCCGCGCTGCGCGTAATATTCCACCGCTAGATCACCGTGAACGTGCGCCTTGTTTGCACGGAATCGCGCGAGGGGGGCTAGCACCACTCGGTGGGACAAGGTGAATGTCCCAACTTTGGTGGGCTGGAAAAGCTTTGGCAAGAGGGCGGCGGGCATAGCGTAGAGTGTCGCTGGTTCACAAGTCTCAGGTCTCGGACTTTACGGTGAATGACAGTATGATCGGCGGATCGCCATGGCTGCATGCTGCATATATATACTCCCGAGTTTTTTCTTACCAATGTACTCGCTGGCGCCGCTGAGTAAGGAACAATTTCAATGCAACGCCGGACGGAGAGATCAGTTCTACCATACATGGATTAGTCATTGTCTTGATGCGCTCTGCCAGCGCAAGGACCGATCAACCGCATCCTAATAGGTACGGGTGTGAGAATGTCTCCGTATGTCGGCATCCTGGGCTCTCAACTTGTCACGGAGATGATGCAATACGATGAGCTGGAGAGAAGCACACAGCGCGCGAATTTTGGGGTACATATTGATGAGGCAAGCGATATTGTAGTTAGATCCGGGTGACATGAGTTTGCGAAGGGTTGAAGGAAGGATCGACGAAGTACTATCAGATACGGGGTTTTGCAAAACCCATCAATTTTGCAGAACTGCGTGATCTCCACCGCACACCATGAAAATTATAATTTTAATCATTTTATATGCTAGTAGGCACTTAGTATACGCCATGTGCAAGACCGATTGAGAAGAAATGAAGGTGAAGTGAAATGACGGCCTGCAGACTGTTCTTGAGGTGTTCTGCAAACATGTGATGAGCGAGATCCAGAGACAATCATTGTATTTCTTGACGATCAGACATTTGATCCGTTATATTACAGCTTTGAATGTTCTGGTACACCAGCCCGATTCACCCAGCAAGACATGGCTGGTGGGCGATGGTTGTTCTGGTTGAGCAAGCGTGACACTCGCCACTGTCAGCGTGATACGTTCACACTCCGCGCTCGATCATGGCACGATGCGGCAGCGCACTTTGCAGTCCTGCAACATCTGCCGAGCGGAGTTCAAATCTGCCGCTGTGACCCAGGCGTGATAGAATTTGCAGAACTACTGCAATGCAAGGCTTCGAATGTGGCATCTCGCTACCACTGGGTGTCCTTCGTGTATGGACCCCAGCTTCATTTTGGGTACTCTTCCATGTATTTACAACAATGCCTGAGTAAAATAACAACGATCCTTGTGGTGGTCCAAGCAGAGCGAAGGGAACAATGCGTGAGTTTGCAAAACCCCGTATCTGATAGTAGATCAATGAATGCGAGCAGTTACGAGCGACGCGCCTGTGATCGAAACGCGTGACAAACGCGTCTAGTCACGCGTCGCGTTTTCATCTGCACCACGTTCGTGCTTGCATACCATGCCACCTCGGAAATCGGCAAGGCAAAGTCAGGCGAAACAACCATCCTCATCCCAGATCAGGCCTCTCCGTCTAGACTCACCAGATCTTACCGGCCCACCCGCCACCAAAAAGCGCAAGACCCTGACATCGGTATGTCCTCCGATTCGCACATACACTTCAGCACAACTCTCCATGCTAAGTGTTCGGAATTTCTGAACGATATTGATGAACTCAGTCTGCAGATTGTTAGACCTCCAGTTTTTGACTTCTCAGGGGGTCAACCAGAGCGCCAAACACCGGATGCTGGGAATTCGAGGAGCAAGGGAAAGGCCAAAGCGACAGAGACAGGGACTGGTCTTGAAAGTTCAGGACAATACTCAGGTATGCCTCCAACTGCTGACACTGTCCGATATGCTTAACAACTTTCAGATTCCTTGTGGGTTGATCGCTGTGAGCCTGTCACCCAGGTACGAAATGTCCACATGCGGAATCTCTTCGAATCCTAATGCACTCTATGTAGGATGACCTGGCTGTTCACAAGCGAAAAGTATCGGACGTTCGTCAGTGGCTCCTCGAATCATTCAGCGGAGGACCCTCAGGCAGGTTGAAGCAGTATAGGGTACGTTGCCTATCCACTGAGATTGTTACACGCATATAAACTTCATCCAGCGGATACTAGCTTTGACTGGGCCCGCAGGCACTGCAAAGACCGCCACATTGCGAGTTCTGTCGCGTGAGTTGAACTTTGAGATCATGGAGTGGCGCAACAGCACGGACGAGCAATGGAGCCGAGACACTGCCTTCAAGGACGATGGAGCAGACGTGGGGCACATGGAGTATGAAAGCCTCGTGGACAAGTTCAGGAGCTTCCTCGCTCGCGCGGGGACCTGCCAGTCCGTTTTCTCTTCAGGACAGGTGCTCAGGAGTCACCCTCTTGCATCACAGGCTACACGCTCTTCGCAGTCGTCTAGACCTCTCGCGCAGAGCTCAAGTCAGCCTTATGCATCTAGCCAAGCTTCTACCGTGCAATCTAGCGTAACACCAGACGGAAAACGGCATGTGATTCTTTTGGAAGATCTCCCTAATATTCTACATCTTGGCACGCAAGCATCATTCCATAGCGCGATCGAGGAATTCGTATCGTTGCCCGCCACGAGTGTGGCGCCGCTTGTAATCATCGTAAGTGATGCAGGCTTGCGTGGAGAGGATGTAGAGAATGACGGGGGCAGCTGGCGAAGAGGGAAGGAAGCGGTTGACGTGCGCAGCGTACTACCGCCCTCGCTGATCAACTCGCCCTATGTCACGCAAGTCCGGTACATTTGGTCTTAGTTCTGACTGTAGGCACGATATTTACTCGCTATCACAGCTTTAACCCAATCGCCCCCTCTCTCATGCGCCCTGCCCTCCAGACCCTGCTCGACAAGCATTTTCACTCTGTACCAGATAATTTGCCGCCAAAAGAGGTCATCGACGTCATCGTCGAGTCGTCGAACGGGGATATCCGTAGCGCTATTATGGCACTTCAGTTTGCATGTCTTACAAAGGCAGGCGCGCAGGCGGGTGGTGCGACCGTGAAGGGAGGCAAGCAAAATATCTCTCAGGCACGTGTGATGTTGGGGGCCATCACGAGGCGCGAGCAGAGCCTGGCGCTATTTCACCTACTCGGAAAGCTCTTGTACAACAAACGTAAGGCGCATATATTCAGTGTTCACCTCTCATACCTGATGAGAGAGATGGCGGACAGGAAAGGGAGACCCGCCAAACGCGTCAGCTTCTGCAAAGGACAAACAGCAAGACAAAGAGCTAGATGCCACCCTGAAGGAACCACCGACGTTGCCGCTGCATCTCAGGGTGCACGAACGTCGGGCATCCAGAGTCGACATCGAGGTGAGCACTCGCTCTATCACAGGTCCTGATTCCTCGGTTCAGAATTATGGAATTCAGACGTTGTATGCGGACTCGCCAGTCGATGCGTCTCTGCTGTCACTGTATATTCACCAGAACTACACTCAATATTGTACCACGCTGGACGAATGCGACTCAGAGGCTGACTGGCTGAGCTGGATCGACTCCAGCGGAGGTGAAACTGTACGTAGCACAAGCGTACCCCAGCGTGCGCTCTCACGAATGGTCATGCACGTCTAACATCCAGTGGCATCAAGCGAATCCGCACTGCTTCCATCTGCTTGCACTAAGTACGCTGCACTCGCTCCCCTCGCCAGTCGTGCGGCGGTGCCAAACACCGTACAAGCCCGCGTTCTTTGAGGCGCTGAAGCGGGAGCGCGAGGCAGAAGATGGACTGAGGGATGTGCAACTGTGGCTACAATATGTGCGCTCCTCCGTCTACAGCGGTAGTCTCACGTTGATCCTCACTCTTCGCAGCAACACAGCGAATCTGGTGTTGGCGACTGGAGTCGACAGCGCATCGCATTGGAGCTCGGTGGGATCCTGAAGGCGTGGGATAGTCGAGGTATGTGTTTATAGTGAATTTCCCTACCAATCTCATTGTATAATGCAGGCGTAGCATCATCACTTGCACCCAAGACGCATAAGCTGTTCTCGCGAATGGACTTTGGCGAAAACACAAGGCACGACGTACAGCTAACAGACGAAAGCGAGGGGCACCAAGAGCTTACTCTTGACAATGAGGACGAGATTGACACCCGACATACTAGCGAGGCAGATCATGATTTAGCGGGAAGAGGTGGTTGGTTGGAGGACGACGACATTGAGGACTTCTGATATGTATTACACCACGTGAGTTCATCGTCTGCTGCTCAATCTCATTCACGCTGTATTGTATCTCTTCATCTCCGCTGTCGACAGAATGTTCCATTTCTCTCGTCATATTCACTTGAGATTTACGCCTGGCTAAGATGTAGTTTTAATCATGGGATAATTTGAGAGCGTCCGCCATTGAAACAACAGGTCGAAATCACCAGCACTCTAGTGACCTTATCCTTTTCATGTCTTTATTTTAGAGCCCCACATTGCACGAATTTAGCATCCGTGTAAGTGCGGTGGTAAGCGCCAATCCTGTCTCACAGGCGCAGATGGATGCGGTGGAAGACATGCATGCATCTTGTGGAATGTTATCCAGTGAAGCGCGCGGTTCGGCTGGAATCATCGACTTGAGTAAATCAGCACCCAACAGTGTGTATATTCAGCGGTACAGCGCGCACTAGGTGCGCTCTGTTATTCAGGAACAATTATATACTGAGGCCTTCGCGATGACAAGTCTTGCCTTGTCGACATCGCGGGCTTGAAAAAACCATACATTTCAACGCATCTCAAATTCCCAAGGTCTTGGGGACACTTCAAGCCCTAAAAAGGTTGCATTCCACACTCAGGGTAGGCGTAGAAATTACCCTCCTTTTCACTTGCATTGTTGATAGAATGCCTGCAATAGAATTGAACACATTGATGGGCATAGAATATACCGCACGTACATTTGTTGCATATGCGCCTGAATTCCGTAGAGGCTGAACCTCGAACGATCGTCACCACGAGGCGTACACAGAGAACAGCACCATGGGTAGTCGTGCTTACTCCAGAGCACTTCTTGACCGCCCCTCTGCGCCTCTGAGAGCTCAGCCTCCGTGGCAATGCGCCCTTTATATTCGACAGATTCGTCATGCCGGGACTTTGACGTCCAGCACTGCCATTCCTTCTCCACCTGTCAACACGGTCAGTTCACACGCTAGCGAATTGAGTGAAGGTGCATACCGCAGTGCGCAAAGTGATGACGCGGTTCTTATCATTGTACCTTGGATACGAGATATAGACATTTAAGTTCTTTAACTCTTGTCTAGTCGTTCGGTCTGGATCTTGGCCACATAGCTTTATGATCGTGCGGATCCGCTCGTGAAAGCGTTGGCCCGGGCCAATAAGAAGCTGACTATTCCAAGGCTGGCCATTAACGCCCACCGTCCACGCCGCGATTTCGTAGATCATGTACTGATTGTAAGGATGCCTGAACAAAACAGGCGCCAAATAGCGCAGACAGTTGTGTGCGAGGACCTCCGGATAAGGCAATAGCTTGGTGCATACAGAACAGACGAAGTGAGTGGCGGCCAAACTCAAGACATCTGCACCTTCTGCGCACTTGGTCCACCGTGACGCGAGTCTCGTTAGCTCTTCGCAGGCCCTCGTTTGCCAGTGGTCCACAAGGCTGGGTAGCAATGCACGGACCTTCTCTTCGCTCTGAGATCCTAGTGCGGCATCATTCGATGAATGAACGATTTCTCGTATCTCAGGCATCGTGATGATGTCGCACATGTGGGGCTTGTACTCAGTCTCGACTGTTCTTGGGGAATTGGAGTATTTGTTGAGTATGACGGTGCACAGCGCATCTAGTCGTTTTCGTAGAACCTCTGTGTGTTTCGTCCGGTATCGCTCGTCTCGGATGTCCTCCAGGATTGCCACAACGCCACCGCCAATATTCTGCCAAACTGGAGTTCATGGTGCTCAGTACGGCGCATATACTAACGACGATGAGACATACTACGATCAGTGAGCTTCTGTGCTGCGCGCAAGGGTTCGTGTCGAGTCAATGGCTTGTATTTTGGCGCAAGAAGGTCGAGTTCATCTCCCCAACCTAGCTGACGCAGTTTATCGAGCGCACTGGAGGCATGTCAGAGCCGTCAGTTGACCTTGCATGAGCTGGTCACGTACGACTGAAATCTGTCTCTTTTGAGCCGCTTCAATTCCTCAGCCCTTGACGCAGCTTTTGCCTTTTCCCATTGACGGCATAGGTTTGCATGCTGAGAATAGCTCAGCGGATGGTAGTAGAAGGGTGTGAACTCATACATCTTTTATTTCTGCCACCTGCGCTTTTAGCGTGTCACTGAAATCAAGTTGTGCATCGGAATTTCCCTCGAGTGACCTCCAGCGATTGCACAGTTGATAGAAGTCAGCAGCCACGCACCAACCGTCACAGTGCTGCAGTGTCCGCCAAGTAAGTCACGCGGATGTAGGATCGCGTTCATATACCCACGTTCAAGAGCAGATGGTAATCATTTGATCTTGTGAGAGACGGGGGAGGCTGACCCAGGAAGCGCCATAGGTTCAGCCTGAGGTCATATTCCGAGTAAATACAATACGAAAGTATGTGCGAGAATAGAGTGCTGACGCTTGTTCCTTGCAAGGAGTGCAATAACGGGTAGAAAGCTCCCATAATGTCTCCTTGCTCGTATGCTTCATGCACCGCTAGAAGATGTGCATAGGTATCAGCAAGCTGCTGGATCATTCAAGAAAGGCATACAAAGCAATAGCTTGTAAACGCAAGGTTGGCATATGCAGGCTCGCTCAAGTGAGTGGGACAGTCGGGAAGCCCCTCAACATTTCTGCGCGAGGCCCTCCAGAGAAAAGCTGATGACCGACTCATGAGAAATGTTCTGAAGGTCCTGCTTGTTCTAGCGAGCCTTAACAAGTCGCGAGGCTGGAGATGGGCGAGGACCTGTGCGAAAAGAGGTCACTAAGACTCTGTTCGTACAGCTGTATTGCAGATTAAATCGAGATCACACCTCTTGTATGATATCCAACGGCATGTTTGGCAGGTCTGCGAGAAAGCCATGGCGCCGCCGAGGTCCTCGCCTTGATATCGTCATCTTTTCGCCATTTGAGGCCTTGTTATCCTGCTTGCATTTCTTCCTTGGCGCCATTTCCACAGAGATTTATGGAGTGTCCGAGAAGCGTAGACAGTGGATTGAACGAGGACAAGAGAGTGAAGAAAGGTTGTCCCCACACCTTATTGGCCGCGTCCGTCCATTATGCCACGTGATCGTGTTGGGCGGTATTGACCGATTACAGCGCTTTCCGAAAACCTTGCTCGATGCTATCCTGAGCGAGAGACCTTCGTCTCGGCGTTATATCAATCCCCTGTTTTCCTCCTTCCGATCATATACGTATGGTCTGACATGTCTCACATAAGCCAACGAAAACTCGTCGAAGCTGCTTCACGCTACGCTCATCAGGTACTGGTCCAGGTTCTGTCCCTGAAGGAAGAATCGCCATTATACGAACAATAGCGCGGTGACGAGGTGAAAATGCTTGTACTACTTTAGCAGGCGCAACTCAAGCGCGCCGCACGGTGTAATCAAATAGTTGGGGCTCCGCCGCTTCCTCGAACTCATATCTATTAAAGCACCGCTTCAGACTCTAACCGATCTCACGGTAAGGCGACGCGTTGGATGCCAGACTAAATATGGCGCAACCCAAGGTTTTCAGAAAGCGCTGTAAGAATGCATCTCACTTGGCTAGTGTCGCTTAGCCTGCCTCAACGCTTACTGCTAATGTATTTAAATAAGCTCTATAAGGAATGCGAAGGAACAGTTGTATTTAACTGATGGCCCACTCATCGGATGAAGAAGGGCTGTTAGTCCCCGAGCTACAGTGCGTCTATGCTTTCACTGCTTGATCTTATTCACACTGCATTGCATATTTTTTCCGGTGATCTATCCTCGTTGTGACCACTGTTCAAGTGTTCCAATAGGCTGAAACATGCATGGACTCAACTATTGTGAGTGTGGTCGTGATGTTACACACGTTCATGACCAAGACGTGCTAGGACACAACTCGAGATTGCGGGTGACATCCTCCAATTATCATCAAAACGGGCGCTCTATTGTAGCCTGCCTAAAAATACGTGGATTGCTCTGCCTGAATTAGCGCCAGCCAAGTAAATCGCGTTCTAACTGTGCACCAAACCTGTGAGCGCAATGTCTAGTCCGTAGCGTCTGAGCCGTTACCTGACAGCTGCGGTCTCCGTAGGGCACGGCACAGCAATGGAAAAGTCGAAGTCTGCTCGCATGGCCGACAGTTGTCAAGTCATTACAACTCCCCCCTCTCTGTAGCTTATTGGAGTTTAGATCCAGTTGTGCGTGAACTGCTTCCTGTGAATTAGTATCGTTGTTTATGATGGCATCAATACCTCTTGGACAGGTGTTCTCCGGCGCGAATCAAAGTGCGCGATGACTGAGCAATCGCCAGCGGCTCAGATTCTGTTGACGAAAAAACTCTGCAGAAACGGCGCAACAACGCCAGCCGCCTATTCCTTTCCCACTGCGAACTGGTCAATCACCACGGCTGTCAATTCGCACTAGCGGGTTCGTTGTGTAGTGAAAATTTGCGATCAACTTGGGCGGCGTGCAAGCAGCCGTAGCCGCCAATTGCCGTGCAGAACTAATGTCTCTTGACAGTACTGCGATCTTACAGTGCGCAGAAGACTCCTGCGTATAAATACTCGCGGTGAGGACCATGAATTTTCATCACCGCTCAACACCAAATCCGTTGCACTATACCAGCAACTATCAAGTCTCCAATATGTCAACCACTGTCGTCCCTAAACTCTTCCAGCCTACCAAGGTCGGGAAAACCGTGCTCGCGCATCGTGTCGTGATGTCGCCGATGACGCGCTGCCGCGCGAACGCCGCACACGTCCATGGGGACCTCGCGGTTGAGTACTATGCGCCACGGTGCCCGGGACACTTCTGATCACCGAGGGCACAATCATTGCCGGGAAGGCCGGGGGTATCCCGTTCGTCCCTGGCATATGGAACGACGAGCAGGTCGCTGCCTGGAAGCGCGTAAGTGCTCTACGCAAGAGCGCTCATTTGTTCCGAATGCTGAATGGTGTTTGTGGCTTCCATCAGGTGACTGACGCGGTGCATGCTAAAGGCTCGCGCATATTCTGCCAGCTATGGGCTATCGGAAGAGCCGCGGTGCCCCAAGTCCTCGCTGCAGGGGGCTACGAGCTTGTGTCTGCCTCTGACATACCCGCCAAGCCGGACTCCAAGGTACCCCGCGCTTTGACCATCCCCGGTAGGGTCTTTCTCACTTTAGGCGTCACGATCACCCAACTGACGAGTACGGAGAATACGGAGATCAAAGAGTATATCCAGCTATACACGGATGGTGCTCTCAACGCCGTGCGCGCGGGCTTTGATGGTGTCGAGCTGCACGGCGCAAGCGGGTACCTCATTGACCAGTTCACCCAGGATGTGAGCAACAAGCGCACGGACGAGTACGGAGGCTCGATAGAGAACCGCTGCCGCTTTGCTCTCGAGATCATCGAGTCTGTATCGAAGGCAATAGGCGCTGACAAAGTGGGCATCAAGTTTGGTCCTTGGGTTACCCTCCAGGGTATGTAACTGTTTTTGACGTCGTGATACGTTCCCAATTTTAATATGACAACAGGAATGCGCATGGCGGACCCCAAGCCTACTTTCGCCTACCTCGTCTCCCGCATCAAGGAGTTGTATCCCAAATTTGCGTACATCCATGTCATGGAACCGCGTGTCGATGGCAACGTCGATCGCGAGGTGCAGGCGGGCGAGGTGAGCCGTGGAATGCCGACCTCCTGATCCGCCATTAATGCCAGTCTTCCAGTCCAACGATTTCCTCCGTGAGATATGGCTCCCGCGTACCTACATCGGCGTGGGTGGATACACGCGGGACGACGCGCTTGGACAGTGTGAGAAGACCGGCGAATTGATCGCATTCGCGCGTTCCTTCATCTCGAACGTCAGTACTACTTATGCCTTGTACACCGTATATCTGGGGCTGAACGATTTGCATCACACAGCCCGACCTGCCTCTTCGTCTTGCCAAGAACCTGCCGCTCACCAAGGGTAAGCGCGAGGACTACACACCGCCATTCGATGGTAAGGGATACATAGACTTCCCCTTTGCGGAAGAGTGAGCGGGCCCATCATTGTCGGAAGCGCAGAGAACTGCCGCTACCGTTGTGTTTCAATTAGAAGGTGTTTCGATTAGAAAGATGAATATTTATACATTATGCAATGTCAGACATGTGCAACGGGTGTTACTACTTTAAAGATGACTTGTGTATGTGGTCTCCTTCTAGGAACGAGAACCACAGGCGACCGAGACGCGATCGGTTTCCCGTGCTCGTTATCGTCACGACTCCTATGGTTGGATTGAAGGAGGAAAGGACTCTCAATCTGACACATGGCAGTCATACCACTCTATTCATGTGACCGTGTATAAATAGCAGGTACATTCAAAATTTCCACTTGAGTCTCCTGGAAAACAAGCGACATTCAAGCGGCCCAAAGCAGCAAGCAGAGTCTGAGCTACCTCCTCGGACAGCGACAAATAAGCGACTGCTCGTCGCAAGCGCTCGCAGATTCTGGCTTACGGTATGTCACGCTTGCATGACTCGCCAGCCTGATTGGCTGGCCAGCCCTTCACGAGTCGAGAACGTGATCAGACCACGGCTGTATCACGCTTAGTCATCCGTGACTCTTTCAGCGACTTTCAGCGACCTCAGCCCCATTTGGGCGCTCAAAAGCAGCGAAAAGTCGCTTCTTGTCCAGCGAGATTCCAGCGGTAGTTTTGACTGCACCTATCCCACCATTCGTGCCTCTGCCACAAGAGAAAGATGGGGTCTGGGCCTTCATGCAGGCGCTGGTATGTCAATTCCTGGAAGTCGCAATCCCTCTCCGCTTCATGAGCCACAAACATATCGACTTGCATTGTAATGGGAACTGTGGAAATCCACAGCTGCCTGAGAAAGAGATAGGACGTCAGCCCTAGGCCCATCTTTAGAGAAGGCGCCACCAAGCATTGCTCATGGCGTGCTCAGATAGTCCTGAGTCGACGGCTTTTGGCCGGATTCGATGAAGATCCCTGCTGATAGAGAATGTCTTCACCCCCGATATCCGAAGAATAGTCAGTACCGTACAGTCGGTGTTGTCCTCAAGGACCGAGGCCGGGCGCATCATGCACTCGCAAGGTGCTGATACAATTGCATATAAAGAATCTCTGGATCGGGTATGAGCTGTATTTGGCTCGGACTGTTTGCGATCCATCCACCAGAAAGACCGCTGAATCATCAGATAAAGCTATTCTCCGAACACATGTACCTTCTCACGAGCTTCATTTTGTCAGGAACGATCCTAGAGAACGGGATCAGCCCGCCGCTTTCAGCTTATTCGCGGATAATGGAATTCTCGCTATGCAAAATTCAAGTCATATCCTGCCTGTATATGGCGAGCGACTGGATGGCTAATGGTACCAATGTGCCATAGCTGCGCTCCAATCCCACCACAGGTCGACGGCAGTTGGTAAGCACCCTCATTTATTGTCGTAGGTTTTGCCGAACCACTCGAACAACAATGCAGGTGTTGGACGTTGCTGTGTGCCTCGAATGTCTTCACTCTGTTAACATAGTACATGGCGGTATGAAAGGGGTATGCACAGTCTTCCTTATGTGGACTGTCTGACTCATGTGCGCATCTGCATGTTAAATTTTGATCAACGAGTCGTGAAACAATCGTCTTCACAAGTGTCGTGTGCGGCCTGGACACGGTAAACCAAATTATTTATGGCTTCGATGACGCTTGTCCCCAATAGTGCTGTGGTTAAACCTTCGTCTGCGCTCTTATTAAGGTCACATGGGTGGTACAGATTCCATGTAGGATTTGGTATAGGTTATCCCAAGTGGCATTACAGCTTCATGACATACTTCCATTAGGTGAGCACAATTGAAAATCACGCACATATATGGCTATAGCACGCGAGGGCACAACTCAAGAGTGAGATGTCACTTCACCCCAATCAATTGGCGCGATCCAAGAAACTCGCATTCGCAAATCGCTATCAAGACTTTTCATGCGCAACACCTAGCCAGATGTCTCGTTCGTAGCATGCTAGCGATTGTTCCGACAGCGCCGCAATTGTGGAGTCGAGTCTGCTCGCGTGGACGATACCCGCCCAAGTATGACCTCGTAACGGGAGGCGCTCTCTCTGGCTCAGTATGCGAACAAAGTCGAGGTTCTGAGGCGCTATTTCTGCCGTTTCCGAAAGACTCGTTCTGGTATGTTGTACGCTTCCCTTTGTCGGATCTAACTGCCTGATGGCATCAATCCTATCTTGACAGCGGTACAATGCGATGACTGAGCGACTACCTGCGGCTCAGATCACGCTGACGAAGCAGTGCTGAACAGGCGCCCCTGTACCATCCTAGTTTGAGCTGTCTCGCAGTGCGTCTTTGTCAATCAACATGACTGTCAATCATGTTACCATTACTGTCCTGCTTGTAATGTATACAAGAGTAACACAGCCTACGTACAGGTAACTGCTATCACCGTCTACCCGAGGACCCGCTTACACCTCTCCTCTGCCTAGATGAACGATCAACCAAAGTTTAAAGCCACTCTTTCGCATAAATACTCGCTGTGAGGACCGTGAAAATGCACCCCCACTCACTCAACACCAAATTTTGTTGCACTACTACCAGCAACTACTGAGTTTCTGACATGTCGCCCACCGCCGTCCCAAAGCTCTTCCAGCCTACCAAGGTCGGGAAAACCGTGCTCACCCATCGCGTCGTGATGTCGCCGATGACGCGCTGTCGCGTGAACGCCGCATACGTCCTTGCAGACCTTGCCGTCGAGTACTACGCGCAGCGCGCCACGGTGCCCGGGACGCTCTTGATCACCGAGGCCACAGTCATTTCTGGGAAGGCCGGGGGGTACCCGTCCGTCTCTGGCATATGGAACGACGAGCAGGTCGCTGCCTGGAAGCGCGTAAGTGCTCTACGCAAGAGCGCTCATTCGTTGACCGAATGCTGAATGGCGTCTTGTGGCTTCCATCAGGTGACTGACGCGGTGCATTCTAAAGGCTCGCGCATCTTCAGCCAGCTATGGGCTACCGGAAGAACTGCAAATCCCGACATGCTTGCTACAGAGGGCTACGAGCTGGTTTCCGCTTCCGACATACCCATGGATCCGGACTCCAAGGCGCCCCGCCCTTTGACCATCCCCGGTAGATTTTCCTCACGTCCTCTGCGTCACGATAACCCAACTGACGGGTATGGGGAACGCAGAGATCAAGGAGTATATTCAGCTATACACGGATGGTGCCCTCAACGCCATGCACGCGGGCTTTGACGGCATCGAGCTGCACGGTGCAGGCGGGTTCCTCATCGATCAGTTCACCCAGGATGTGAGCAACAAGCGCACGGACGAGTACGGAGGCTCGATAGAGAATCGCTGCCGCTTTGCGCTCGAGATCATCGAGTCTGTATCGAAGGCAATAGGCGTTGACAAGGTAGGTATCAAACTCAGCCCTTGGGTCAGCCTCCATGGTGAGTGGTGATCCTGGATGTCGCAGCACTCCGGAGTCATAACATGTCAATACATAGGGATGCGCATGACTGATCCCAAACCCACCTTCGCGTATCTCGTGAGTCGTATAAAGGAGTTGTACCCCGAGCTAGGGTATATCCATGTCATGGAGCCGCGCGTCGACGGCCCTGTTGATCGCGTAGTGCAGCCGGGCGAGGTGAGGCTTCAACACGTTGGTGGCCCATCGATGTAATATTGACTCCAATCTTCTAGTCAAACGACTTTCTCCGTGAGATTTGGCTACCGCGCACCTACATCACGGTTGGCGGGTACACCCGTGAGGACGCATTCGAACAGTGCGAGAAGACGGGCGAGCTCATCGCATTCGCGCGTTCCTTCATTGCCAATGTCGGTGTTACTATCCCGCGCACCATTTGCTTGGGGCTAACAGGATTCATCGCATAGCCCGACCTCCCCCTGCGTTTTTCCAAGGACCTGCCGCTCACGAAGGGTAAACGCGAGGACTATGAACCGCCCTTCGACGGGAAGGGGTACATAGATTACCCCTTTGCGGAAGAGTGAACGGACTTCATGCATAGGTTATTTAGCTCCTCGATTCATTAAGGAGGATGGATGTACTGTATATCGCCTACGGTTAGGCTTATATGTTCAATAAATGTGGTAAATGGGTATTATCTCTTGAAAAACGCATCAGTTGTGCGTCCACGATCGTCTACACCGCAGTTTCTGCGTGTGCCGGGCGACCGCTTTGGCGTCGCGCGAGGTACTGAACTCACTGACCTTTCGTGACGATATATTTTATTCAGTAATCATCAAACGAGGTACATCCTTCCCTTTTCACTGATCAGGAGAACGGTTTGAGTATATTGTGGCCCGGGCCCAGCCAATGACACAACGCGAGATGTCACACCATGTGACACGGTGACGCCTCTTTGTTCAGACTCGGTGGTGTCCAGGTGTACTGGCACTTACCTCGAGCTACACAACGCCACATCGTACCGAATACTGGCCAGCTTTGCCCCGCAGCATCATTCGTACAAGCTGCACTTAGAATCCTGGGATAGATACTCTACGAGTCATGTGCATAGCTGTCCCTTGCAGCATAGTCTGTGAGTCCATGTCTCGTGTTGTACTGTTTGACGGTGGACTCGAAGTATTTGAATGTGGTCGTAGCTGTGTTGTCACCACGTTCTTCCTATTTTAGAACACCTTCATATGTTCCGCGTGAATGTGCCATATAAACCGTGACGAACCCATCGATGTCTGACACCTCAGTTACCTTCTCGAACTGGACCTTCAGCTCAAGCACGCCTCACACACTTGCAACATCTGCTTCCGATACACCTTATGTCGCACTCACACTGAACGTAATCAAGGAAAAATGGTCATAAGGCAGTTTCGAAGATGAGTACACTGTATGCTTCCATTGGACCCATGCGCCGGTATGTTCCCGTCTGTGGTACTTTCATGCCTGGAGCATATTTTCTAGGTAAGGATTTAGTCTGCATCAAAAGGGGCTCAGATATATTGCACTTACCCTTACGTACGGTACATGTATGTCAGCAGCGGCGCCGCAGGCCGAATCGAAAATCAGATCAAGCACAGTGAATGAAGACAATGCTACGTGCGCTTGCATATTGCAGAGAAGCAAGAAGACTCGGTTATGCATCCCGTCTCTCGCGAGACCTGATTTATACTGGGCCGCATGCCATTGTAACGGATGTCCTCATGACGACCTTGTTGACAAGTGCAGAGGCGTCACCGGCTGTTCATTGTCCATCCTGTCCAAAAGCTAACCAGGAACGAGAGCGACATAATTAGCATGGGATTGGTATACTGCTGCGGCTGGGATGATTTCCATGCGGGGTAGTTTGCGGGGGAATGTGGAAGAGGAAGCCCCCGGATGGATCTTCCGCGTGAGTCATTTTAACTCTCGGCTACCCCCTCATCCTGATACCCTGATCTGGAGCGTCAACAGAATATATACTATGCAACCTTACACAGTTTGTTCACCCCGACAATGTCATGCGTGAAATGCATGTTATAGGTGGCCTTCCTGAGATGTTGTCGTGTTCTTCAATCTCTCTCGACGGTGCCGTTGCCGTGTGACTGATCTCCCCATCATGATAGGCTACTCCCTGTGGCTGTATTACACGATTCACAACTACGGTTGTGCTTGAAGGTTCTACAACACCTTTCTAAACCCCGGTGGCGGCCGCCTGTCTGCGATCCTCCCGGACGTACCTTTGCGACGATGGGAAACTAATGAGAGCGGAAGGCTTCCGTAGCACCCTTTCCGGCTATACTTCGGCTAGTTGACTCAAAGGTGTCTCAGGATTGCATAAGAAAGTACCCCATGAATAGTCGTACGGCGCAGACACTTCTGCTCCACTCTGGAAGCGCTCGCCCTATTACCGCTACGAGAGCTGGGTACATCTAGATTAGCTCTCGACCGGCGCTGTGTGCCCCAGTATACCCGAAAAGTATTTCTCCACGCTATTTTCACATGTACGTGATTGACCCCGTGGAATGCTAGAAAGCATAATTGCTTAGACGTTATGGGTTGAATGGCATGCAAGTCCGCATGGTCTGCACAGCAACCCACGCGTGCTGCGTGCAGAGATTTTCGCTCGTGTGAGTCTGACCACACAACTATGTATATGAAGAGAGAGCTATTACTCAGTGATCGCCGGACTCTTCAGCTTGTTTACCGAGGCTCAAAGGGGACTCGCTATGGCCGTCGTATCGCTGTTATCCGCAAATGTGGCGACATTGTGCATAGAGAGTCTTCTCTACGGGGTCTTTCTAGTCCTGTCAGTAGCGTCAATGTACATGCTGGTGCAGCGAAGTAGAGCTTCTACGAACGTGCCATGGCATGCCAAATCGACGTTGTTCATCACCCCGATGTCGGTGGCGGCTGTACTTCTTTTCATGACCAACACTGCCGTACGTGTTTTTCACCGCTGGAGAGTGCGAGACGTTAATGTGTACATGGTAGCATTGGATCATTGGTGTCTACCGGGCATTCCGTGCATTCATTTATTTTGAAGGCGGCCAACAGCCTTTCGCATATTTCAATGACATGCGACAACCAACTGAGGTCTCACAAACTGCATTGCTCATGGTATCCCTTATAATAGGCGACTCGGTACTAGTAAGTATAGCAATGCCCTTGAGACGCGTCAGTCACATTACTGTATTGTTCGTTCAGGTATACCGCTTGTGGATAATTTGGGCATTCAACAACAGATCAATTGTAATATTCCCAGCTTGTACACTGTTGGGACTTACCAGTAAGTTTCTGAGCGTATTCTTGACGTCTAAATAGTCACACACGCTGTCGCTACCAATCACTTTGTGATGTCTAGCTTGCGCGATTGGGGTCATCTATCAGCTAGCACGACCAAATGCAAAGAATGATATATTCGATTCAGCAACCGGACGTTGGATCACCTCAAATTGCGTGTTCACTCTGTGGTGAGTCTTTTTTCCGGGCGCATGAAATACGTATTGAACAGTACTTCGATCTAGCACAAATGTCTACAGCACCGGTACGTTCTTCCGCTGCTGTATTAACGACCGGAGGAGCCGACCCTGGAATATGACAACGTACAGCGTTCATTGGCTGGCGAATATTGCGCACAAATAGGGAGGCTCAGCGGATCGGGGGATCGAATCTCATGGTTCGGCGCCGTGTACCCAGAGACTACCGCAGCCCTTGCTGACGAGCGTTTCGGTAGGGGATCCTCGGCATTCTGGTGGAGAGCGCTGCCCTCTATACGTGAGCCGTCTGACTCGTGTTCTCTGCGCGACTTAGTTCGCCGCTGATGTCTTCTGCAGAGCGTGGACCATTTTCTTCTTCGTGACGTACCACGTCCAGTCCAACCTGCAATACACCTGCAGCGACACATACTGTGCAATAGCTGGCATCACTTTCATGCTCATTAACGTCCGCGTAGGCATGGGTTCCGCGACTCGAACCACGCAACCGGGCTCAGCGATCGCGGTCGAGGCGGGGAGAGAGGGGGGGGGACAGGCTTTCCGCATGGAACACCTGTCGGTGAACATCACCCGCGTCGTCCAGCGCGACGACGGGAACGAGCTGCCGATGAAGTTCGCCTCCCGCAGTAGTGTCGAGCTTGACTTCGAGCTGCCATAGTGCGCGAGGCCGCATGAATATTACACGCTGGGGATTATCCACCTGTGGATTGTGTCAACGGGAACTGAGTACTGAGCTCCGACGACTGCGGGATGCATTGCCTTTCTCTACCATCGGTCAGCACGCGCCGCAAGCCTCTTAGTCCATGAGAAACACAGCAAACACCGGCCAAGGCTAAACGAACACTTTTGACGACGTACATAAATTGCCAAGGTATCGGCGCTCAAGCGCTCAGCTCAGCACCGGTTCTTACCCTGCTCCCGAGTTTTTGCGGATGCATCCAAGTCCTTCGGCCCCAAGGGACGATGTCAACTAGGAGGATGATATTAGATCCTAGCCATGTTGCTATATGTATGTACCAACATAATACTAAACAGTTCAGATGACATGGAAAGGTCTATTCGTGGTTGGGGCACAGGAGTAAAGAGAAGATTGGAGAGCGCGTAACCAGATTGTTTCGGTCCGTTCAGCAGCGGGAAACTATGCGAAACATTTACGACTAGACTCAACTAGATGGACAGCAGTATGCGGGGGCGCGGCAGCCAAGCCTGCACGCGTTACAACCATGCGCGCAGGCAGTGATTCGATAGCAAACGAGTGGACGGTACTGGGATCAACAACAGTACACAGAGCAGAAAAATGTCGACAGGGTCCATGGTCAGTCAAAGTGTCCGTGGTATAATGGTGCGTCGGTGGTATGTGGACAGTAGAATTTCAATGAGGAACCACGAAAATCGGGACCGGCCATATCGCGCTCAGTATGAGAACACCATCAACCACGGGTTGAGGACAATCTGCAGCAAAGGTCAGGGCCTGCACCGGAGTGACATAAGCGGAGATACGCACCGGGAAGAGTAAGTGGCAACCAATAAGGATACTGAGCGGGAAAATGACTGCCCAGGACGAGCCGTCGATTCTCCACGCAAGTGGTACCAAATTTGTGCTCAAGATGATCATGCCGACCATGAGGATGATGCACACCGTGTACGGGAACCAGAACCTACGGAGAGCGAAGGCGTCGTCAGAAATGGCGCATAATCCACAAGGATATAAAAGAAAGTGTGTGCGCACCGTTTAAAGATTTTCGGAATCTCCTCGAAGAAATTCGAACGCTCAACCTCCTTCTTGGTAGCACCCCACGTCATGTTGTATGAGAACATGTGCGCGAGAATGGACTGCGTAAGAGGGATGGAGAGACCACCAAAGAAGAAGAAGCTGCAAGCGATCGGGGTGCTTTAGCATGCCAGGAACCAACAGGCCAGGCGCAATGCAAAGCAGCACTCACAAGAACGGAACCCATTTAATATTTTCCAAGAATTCCCAGATCTACAAGCGAGACGACACTGTCAGCAAGCGAACCGCCCAAGACACAGGAGGGGAACATACGAGATTGCCATGCCCGATACGGTATTGCAAGAGCGTGAAGCCGACATTGCCAGAGCCGATGAAGACGACCGTCGTCGCGAGCCAGATTTCGAAACTGTGCATGTAGAAGCCGTCGATGGGGAATTGCCAGCCGAGCAAGAAGTAGTTGATGACCGTAATCGTGATCGAGCACGCGATACCGTCTGCAAAACGACCGCCATCAGCCCCCCTCCTCTACCTCTAGTCTCATCCACAGCGCGAAGCACGCCACTCACAGTACGAGAACATGTACGCCATCATGGACACCTTGTAGTGCAGGGGCGCCGGGGACCACATGAACTTGTGGATCTGCTTGTTGATCGGGCCCTTGCGCCACCACTGTGCGATGGGGTTGAACAGCAGTTCGCTACAACCTGTCGCACACCCGAATCAGCGCATGCCCCAAACTGCACTCCCACAGCACGACGCACCGTACGAGTACTTCTGCCACCGGTTGAGCTCGTCGTCCGCAGTAAGGGACACACCCTCCTTGAAGCCGCCGTCCGAGTACGTCGCCCAGCGGATGATGTACCCACGCAGCTGCAGCCGCAGCGCCATGTCGAAGTCCTCGGACACGTTCGACTCGGACCACATCTTCTCCTCGCCATCGGCAGAGTCGATGAACGCAGCGTCCTGGACCGCGCGCCAGCGCAGGAACGCGTTGTGACCGACGAACGGGGCAACCTCGCCGTTGGCGCAAGCTGCAGGGGAAGGAAAGTACATACTGGTCAGCAACGGCCCGTTCCGCTAACACACCACGAGAAACGCGACGCACTATACGAGATACACTTGTTGATACGGCGCGTAAAGTACGCGATCCCGTTTTCCCAGTAGTGGTGCGCGACCTGCATGACGTCCGACTCGTGCTGGATGACACCCACATCAGGGCACTCGGCCATCTCGCGCGCCGCGTCCCTTAAGCAGTCCTGCAAATACGCCCCACATCAGTATCACTATAAGCATAAGCTCAGGCACACGCACCTCCGGCACGATCGTGTCCGAGTCCACAATCAGAATAATCTCGCCAACACGGCACGCGCGCCCGTTCGCCGCCCACGGGCGGAACCGCCGCCCGCTCGCCTCGTACACCTCGTCGATCGCCAGCTGCAGCGCCTTCTCCTCGATCTCCCAGTCGTCCATCGACGCCTTCTCCTCGTTGTCGTCCCCGCGGCTCAGGTTCACCACGCTCGCGTTCCCGCCGTCCTGGTGCTGGTACTGCATCCCGTAGCGCTGCTCCTCCTGCACCTCGCGGCTGCCGCGCGACGAGCGCGGCCCGCGCTCCTTCTCCTGCGTCTGCAGCGCGTCGAGGTGCTTCTCCGCGAGCAGCGACAGCTTGAGACCGTAGTTCATGTTCGACGCCTTTTTGAAGCGCCCGGCACGCTTGAAGCCGTCCTGCGCGTCGTCGTGCTTCGGCCGCGCAACCCAGCCGATGCCGTGGTTGGCGTAGTAGGCGATACGTGCGTCACGCTCCTCAACAGGGAGCAGCTGCGCAGGCGCGGTCAGCACGCAGCGTGATTAGCATAGAGGAAAAACGACGCACTCGGAGACCATCGTCGTTAATGAAAATCGTGGAGGTACCGCCCTGGCGGGCGTACGTCTGCATACATTTCTTGAGCGATTCGATTGAGGGTGCCCTGGGTCCCCGCCGTCGTGAGCACCACGCATACAGACAGCTCAGGTTAAGAGGAAATCAACACGCACAAGACAGTGTCCAGCGCTTCCTTGTACACAGGCATTTGAATGGTGACGTGCGGCAGGTTGTTGTCGACAATCTTGTTCGGGCGCGGCTTTATCGCCGAATAATACTTGGAGTTCTCGTGGTACTGCGCCACGGGGCCGATCATCATAGACAGGTTCTGTATGATCTGTATCGCGAAGAACTGTACCAGCCTCCCGTCAGACACCACGCACCACGCATCACGCCGCGAAAAGACGCACCAACGACACGGAATACAGCATCGGCAGCAGCGCACACAGCGCAAACCGCACATAGTTGTTGTCCAGCTCCCACTCCTCGAGCAGCGTCTTGAACCCGTTCCCAATGAAGTAGAACGACAGGCCCGCGGCGAGCCCGTTGTAAAGCGGTGCCCACAGCAGCGTCGGGCGTTTCGTGGGCCCGAGGTCCGCGAGCGCCGCACTCATGTCGTCGACGATGATCGTCTTCTTCTTGCCGTACCACGTCCGCACGGTCTTGGTCTGCACCGCGCCCTCCGCCACGCCGGCGCCCTTCTCCGGGTCGTCCTGCCGCGCAAGGATCTCCTGGTGTGCGTCGTCAGCTCGGCGGACAACTCAGGCAGACAGGACAAGACAAACCATGCTCATGCGGCCCATGCCGCGCGGTGTGCCCGGAATGTTGTTGGTGCGGCCCGTTGTCAGGCGTGAGCTGAGCGAATGGCCGGAGACCGAGCCTGCGTCGCCGACGTCACATTAAACACCATCGTATGTCATGTTGTCATCATAATATATACAATCGTGTCGATCATCGCACAAGGACAATCCGTCAGCGTCACGCCCAGACAGAGAAAAAAAGCGCGTCACGCACCGTTAATGCTCGCGGGATAGCTGTTCGAGCTCGTCGCATGGCTCGCGCCCGCGGCCGGGCGCGAGCGCCAGAGCAGCTTGATCAGGCGCTCCTCGAACTCGTGGCACATCGGGATGATGGTATCGATCGACTCGGACCACATGACCAGGACGCGTTCATCGCGCTAGGAAAGGGAACGATGGTGAGTAAAGTTTGGCGCGGCGATACGACCCGACGAACATATACGCGGCGTTAACCACGAGCATAGGCGGAGAAAGAAAGCGCGGACGCGTGCGCGGTGTATGGCTGGGGACGGGACAGCGCCGTACGATGCGAAGTAGCTGACTGACGGCGAGGACGGTGCTGCACCGTCGCCATCACCGCCACCCCCGCGACATACGAACAGGCAGCACAGCACTCATCACGATCGCGACGGAGGGATGACATGACATGACATGCGACCCATCACGCCCGGAGGACACGCCCATCACGCCATGCTCTAGCGCGCGACACCCACCGCGCCTTCATCTCCGCGCACGAGCCAAGACAGGTGTAGGCGCCGCAGAAGAAAAGAAAAGAGCTAAACGCCGCAGAAGAAAAGAAAAAGAAAACAGGGCACGGGACACCGAGACACAAGACACAAGGCACGGCGCTAATCTGTCATAGTCACCGCGACAGGTGGAGTGGGTACGAAGTGCACGGGAGCACAACATGCACGTAATGCGCAATGGCACAACTTGCGCACGGCGTGCCGTGAGGACGAAGGAATGTGGAATGTGGAGATGAAGGAGTGGTGAGCTACGAAGGATGCATTACACGCAGACCAGGCGGAGCTCTGCGAAATGGGACCCAATTTCCCAGGAGCACGACATTGTCGTATAGGTCTGTAATTGGCGGGAGCACCAGCTGAATCGTAACGCGCGAGAGAATGGGAGTGAAAGACGTGAGGAAGCGCATCACCACAGAGCACGGGCTGTGCGCTCGCCAGACGCCCGCGCACGGGTATTTGCAAAGTCGGTAGCGATGGGAGACGGTGCACAGGCAGACGCGATTCGCATCGCGGCAGAAGTGAAAGGAGAAACGAGAGGACGGTGGACTTACGACAAAGGCGGCATTCTGCTCCTTGTCGGCAGTGGGGAGGTCCATCATGGTTTCGATGATTTGGATGCGCGTATTCGCATCGACGTAGATGGACCGGTCGTCGGGGCTCCTAGAGGACGCACAGACGCATGAGCACACGGACACAAGCAGAATACGCGGTGCAGCGCGGATGCTGCGGAGCGCGCCTGCGCGATAAGGGCGCGGGCAACGCGCCGCGCACGCACTGGCGGCAAACGCGACACTCACACTTCCGCGAGGGCGGCATGTACGGAGGCCGAGCGGACCTTGACGGCGACGGCGGGGTTGAGGGCGGAGACGGCCGCCTCGAACGGCTCGAGGGCGAGGTTCTCGTAGGGGAAGACACGGAACTCGGGGCCATTGTCGACACGGAGGGCAACGCCGGCGGAAAGGTTGTCCTCGTTGGGACGAAACCAGGCGTCGCCCTGGGTCTGTTTGAAGATGTGGTGGAGGAAAGCGTCGTAGCGGTCGTAGTCCATGGTGACGCCGATGCGAGGCCCTGGGTAGAAGGACTCGCCGGTGACGAGGGAGTGGGAGGGGGAGTGGGACTGATAGGACGACAGGGTGGCGGCTGTAAGGGGGGACGGGCTACGACGGAGTTGGGGCGTACGAAGGGACGTACGTGGAGAGCGATAAAACGAAAGGACGAGCTGGTGAGCTCCTGCGACTGAGAGTGATGGGGGCTGCAGGAGCAGAGCAGAAGAGCGTCGTCCTCCCCACAGGCGCCCGTTCGCACACTCAAATCCCTCCCACGACTCTTCCGCCGCCCGTCCATCACCGTCCCCGGCCGGCCCCCGGCACAGGCACCGCCCCGCCCACACGCGCCTCCTGCCCGACGTCCTGCCCACCACGCGTAGCACACCCACCCGTCACACCGCGCGCCGTCCCCGATGCGCAACGAGACTGCCCGCCGCGCACAGCTCGGGCCCGTGGTGCTCGCTTCTGTACGTACACTCGACTTATCGCTGCGCCAGCCTCGCTATCGCCCTGCCTCGCCGCTTGTGCGTTGCACCACGTCCTCGTATAGTCGCATCGGGACCACGCCCGCCTAGCGCCCGCGATAGGCGTGCAAACTCGCCCGTGGGCTTCCTTCCCTTCCCGTCGCTGCGCTGCACGTAAACGGCAAACACTGCATCGACAGCCCAGGCATGCGCCCTGTCATTTCCGTCCGCTTCCTCGCGTCGGCGTCGCGCATCTAATACCACCGCGGTCATGTCTCCTTCCTCACATCCACTTCGCGCCGTCTTTCCGTTCCGCGAGCTGAAGCCTGACATGCGCCGTGTGTATCCCCTCGCGATTCCGTCCCTCTTTGCACAAATTTCCAGCCTCTTCGTCTTCGAGTCCCGCATCGAAATAGCCTGCCCCGCCCACTCCAACTCTTGGCAGCGACAGAACAGCAACCCACCATCCCGCTCCACCTCACGTTACTCTATTTCCCCGGGCGTGTGCCTGGCGCGCACACGCAGCAGCCCCAACGATCACGTCGTATCCTCTACTCACAAAACGCCCTCGCCCTCGCCAGCCACAGCGCCCGCAATGACGCACGCAATGACGCGCGGCCCGCATAAACCGCACCCGCCTCCCCAACCCCGACATTCAATATCAATCGCCGGCCATCCTCGGTCCCGGCCGGCACACATGTACACATCCCATATCTCATATCTCCCGGCCTACGGTTGGCGGGTGGGCGCAGGTCAAGATATGGTAACTAGATATGGGGTCCTGCCTCGTGTGGTACCCCGTGATAGATCTCAGCGTGACAGAGCCTCAGACGGACCATTACGTAATTTAAACAAGGGCTGAATTCTGCTCGACGGCATCGGCGGCATGGGAGATGGGGCGCTTATGTAACCATAACTGAGTGATAGATGCTTGGAGACCTATGCTATATTCTCGAGGTATGAGCAGTATTCGCGCCATATGATACAAATAAATGAGTTACTCGCTGCTCAGGAAGAATATGCGAGCACTGAGATCTGAAGGCTTGAGGTGCGACAGCGCAAAGTGTACTATGCCAATGTCCGATTACGTAAGGTCCTGCTTCGAGTCTGTAAATATACACGTCTTTCAACTCCATATATATCTCCCTCTAGCCTTGTACGTTCCCCTTCTAAGGTGAAATTTGAGTAAATATAGCTGCTTCAAATACCGCAGTAATTGTGCATCATGATATGCTTGAGAATATTAGTAAAGTTGCTCATATACAGGCTGGTTCCTAGCGCATTTAAGTTGTGTATGACACGCCAAGTAAACGCAACTCAAATTATTTCTTGATACCATATGCTCAGCCATCTTATCGTAATAATTGTTTTAGGTACATACTCCATTTTGGTATTCCAATGGACAATTTGCTTGCCTAAGGTGTCTTATGTAAGCATGATGTACGCGCGGATATCACACACAGTATCGATAATGGAAAAATATATAGATCATTACTATCACCAGACGTTACAACTTAGTCACTCTGAGGACCCCGGCAAGACCCGATCAGTGGCTGAGGCACGAAGTTAGACCTGCGCCCACCCGCCAACCGTACCGGCCCTTTTTAGTACTGCACTCGCGATTTGATTCGCACCGCCCAAAAGCAGCTAGCACCGCCCCCGTTTCTATTCCGCGCGCCGCGCGATCGGTGACACCTCCGTGATGATGTGTGTGTAACGGACGTCAAAATGGCGTCCCCGGATGGATCTGACAGCCAGATCCAGACCCATCCCTCCGGCGGCTGTTGCCGGCGCGCGCCGCGGAGACAGATCAAAATTCTCGCAGGACGTCCAGACGTCCACTCTAGAGTTTTCCTGTTTTCGATTTTCGAGCTCGAAGATCAGATGGCACCGCGCCCGCCGCCGGGGTCTCCTCGTCTTAGCGTAACGCTGCCGTGATTGGGCTCGCGTGCGGGCCTAGACCACGGGCGAACGCCAGCAGACGCGCGCAAGTAGACTGTCCCCGGCGGGAGTGCAAGTGCAAGTTACTGGCCGCCAAGGCGGAGGCTGTGCGCCGTGTATCGCGATCCACCATGCATCGCGACCCGTCTGCGGTTCACGTTCACAACCACTGTGACCGTGTTTACAGAGCGAACGAGTGGAGGGGAGCCTGCCCGTCCGTCCTTCTGCGTATTTTCACCCATACGGCGGGCGAGCTGCAGATGCACGAGCAGCCGCGTTCGTCGAGCTCTCGACATTGTGCAGTGCGAGCGCTCGAGGACCGTGCTACCCGAATTGAATCGTAGCGCAAACAAAGATGATTCGTACATACATACTTACAGTTTTTACGGCAGGACTTGCGTGCGCGGCGAAAGCCTATTCGCTGCCGCCCACCGCGCCCGCTCTATCTACCCCCGACGCCCCGTCCCCGTCCTTCCCACCATTCATTCAGTTCCTGATTTGTCGCCATCCAAGTTTGTGTCACTTCTGTATGTGTATGAACCTGCGTTCCATTCCGGCGCTCACTTTAGTCCCGTCCAATCCTCGCTGCTGCTAATCTCTCCGTTCAATCCTCGCCGCCGCTAATCTATCCGTGCTGCCGCCGCCAGGACCCACAACCCTCGTGGCAGCACCCTGTCTCCTGTCTTGCGTCCCCCTTCGTTTTCTCGGCGGGTCTTCCTCCTCGCTCTAGGTTCTCTTGCTGGCTGGTGGCTGGTGGCTGGTGGCCAGTGAGCATGCACTTCCTCCGCCTGCGGCCCTCTGCGCTTGCAGCCATAATGGCGTCCTGCCTCTGTTTTCGTGTCCGGCAGGTTATCACGAGGTTCGAGGTCCTCTCCCGTAGATGTAGATCCACACCATGTGCCCGTCCGTGTCTCGACACCATGATTCATGACCCGCCACTCGCCCGCCCTCCTCATCCCGACCGACGAGCCTCTGTCCTATTGTCCCATGCGCTCTGCCGCCTCTGTGCCAGGAGCGCCTGCACGCCCACTCAAGTATGGATAAGGCCCAAGCGTGGACGTTCTGTGAAATATACTTCCGCGGATGTGGATGCTGCGCGGTACGTCTCCTGGCTGTTCCACGCTATTGCCGCTGGCGCTGCAGATGGGATGGCTGGCAACCAGGAGAGGGCATCACCGCCGCGCATCAGTCGTGCGCAGCGCTCCTACCATCTATTCCCGCACGTTGTGTGTACGAATCCCTGCCGGGACGCGCTCGCCGTCCCGCTTCGGTCGTCCGTAACTCGCTGTCAGCTCAGCCCCGGCAGACGCGTTGTCAACCCCGGCGGCCGCTGGGTGCTCACTGGTGACGCACGGTGCGTCCTCGTCCCCGTTTCGTCGGCTAGCAGCCGCGGGTGGGAGGAGGGTGGCCTGCGGGGTCCTTGATGCGTCTCAAGTGCACGCCCACGCGTGTCGGAGGGAAAGAGTGGATGCCAGGATGTCAGTGGTATGGCTGCGCGCCGGGCTCTCAGCTCAGCTCACTATCAATCTCCCCCTCCTTTCTCCCCGCCCATCCAAAATTCAGTGGAGCACGCCCATAGGCCCGCCACACTCAGAGGCCCGCCCCATCGCGCTGTTACATTCTTGCCCAGTTGCTCGTCCATACAGGCATGTTACGCTGCCGAACGCGCTCGCCCTCCGCGCCAGTCCATCTACATATCCACATCCACATCCACATTTTACATCTCAGTTTTTATCTCATTCTATTTTTTAATCCTGTTTTGTATCCGCTTGAGGGATGTCTTCAGTTGTTGATTAATTACCCGTAGCGTCGTCGCATGCACAGCGGGAGCAGTGTAGTGCCGTCAGGGCCGCGGGCGTCGTTGATTCATTAAGGACCCGTCAACATGGAAACCCGCAGTTGTATGTTACAGCGTGTTTATCTCCGTCGTCGCGACGGGGTGTTCGTTCCTGGCCCCAGCAACAAGGATCGTGAGCTCCGCGGGGCACTTTAAGGATCTACTATACCAACCAGTACAGCCAGTCGCTAGGATCCCGTCTGTTTGTCTCGTACCCACTATTACAATTAGCGCCCTTCAAGCGCCGACATTCTATGTAACGGTCACAATGCTTCCTTCCGAGTCTGGTGGGAATGATTTGCCCTTCGATCGACGGCCACAAACGGCACTCACGCCTGGCCAGTCAGTGGCATGCCCTGTCTCAGTGCCAGGAGCGCGAGGCTCGTCTTTGACTTGCCGGCAGTGTCACTCTGGTGGTCTCTGCGCGGTCCTCGCTCCTTACGGCGTGCATTTCACGTTGCCTACTCCTACTCAAGATCTATCGCCACGGTCCCGACCCGTCGGCCGCCACGTCGCGCGTTCTCTGCTGTGGCGCATCGTCGTGATAACGACTTCTTTGAGTACACGTCAGGGCGGTGGATGCAAGTCTCATACATACTATTATATAGAATCTATCGTCTAACCCGTAGTCCACCGTTCTCAGCTTCAACGATGAACTCCGCCACACAGAGCGCAGACGCGTCTTCAACGTCGACGGGCTCCGTCGGCTCGCAGCAGAGTCCGTCGACCGGAGTCCCGATGACATCGTCAGCATGGTCAAACTCGCCGAGGGCGGGTCTAACCGCGCCTTTCTCATCACCATGCGCGGCGGCTTCCAGATGGTGGCGCGCATCCCGTACCCGGCCACTGTCCCCAAGTACTTCGCCGTCGCCAGCGAAGTAGCCACCATGGCCTTGCTCCGCTCCTCCGGGCTACCCGTGCCCGCGGTGTACGGATACGCGCCCGCGCCAGACAACGCGGCGGAGACCGAGTATATCTTCATGGAATTCGTGCAGGGCACTGACTTGAGCGACGTGTGGTTTGACCTGCGGGAAAGGGACATCTTATCGATCACACGCCAACTTGCTGAGCTCGAGGCGAAGATGATGTCGATTGCGTTCCCGGCTGGCGGGAGCCTGTACTATACCGAAGACCTGGAGAAGGTGGCCGGCACACCAGGCATCATGCTGGAGGACGCGCGGTTCTGCGTCGGTCCCGACACGCGTGTGTCTCTATGGTATGGCCGGAGATCACAGCTCGACATAGATCGAGGACCCTGTAGGCATTTTTGTTAATTATTATCCCCTCAAACTAACCAATAACCAGACAAAAGTGCCGAAGCGGCGCTCGTAAGAGGCACAGAAAAGGAGCTGGCGTACCTGCAGCAGTTCGGTCGGCCGCTGCTGCCATTCCAGCGCATGCGGCGGGAGGCCTACCACTACCAGGCGCAACCGCCGTCGGACCACGTCGAGAACCTGCACCGCTATCTCCGCATTGCGTCGCAACTCGTCCCCAAGGATCCGGCCCTCTGCCAGTTCCGCATCCGCCATCCCGACCTCCAGCCGGGCAACATTATCGTGTCGCGGTCGCCCGCCGCGGACTCTGAGCTGCGCATCGTGAGCCTCATCGACTGGCAGCACACCGCGATCCTGCCCCTGTTCCTCCTCGCCAGCGTGCCCCAGTGCCTCCAGAACCACAGCGACCCTGTCTCGCACTGCATGCTCCCGCCTGCGCTCCCGGCGAACCTCGACGCGCTGAGCGCCGCCGCGCGCAGCAGGGCGGAGGAGGCTTACCATCGCCGCGTCGTCCACTACTGCTACGTCAACAACACGGAGGAGCGCAACAGGCCCCATTACGACGCGATGACGGACCGCGTGTGCGTGCTCCGCAGCCGCCTGTTCTGCCACGCCGGCGACCCGTGGGAGGGCGAGACGATCGAGCTGAAGGCGGCGCTCATACGCGCGGCGGAGACGTGGGAGACGCTTGTGGGGGACGATGCGCCGTGCCCTGTCGTGTTTGACGCCGAGGACGTGCGTGAGACGGCAAAGCTGAATGGAGTGCTGGAGGAATCAGACAGGCTTGTCGAGGCGTGGCAGAACGCGTCCGGCCTCGGGCAGGATGGCTTGGTGTCCACGCAGCACTATGATGAGGCCATGGTGCTCTGCAAGCGGATGAAGGAGAGCGCGTTGGCGGATGCAGAGGCCACGGAGGAAGAACGGGCGCAGATCGCGGCGCACTGGCCCTTTGACAACATGGACGAGGAGGAATACATGTGAATTATAATCAGTCGAGCTGGATATTCCGCGGTGTTGTATATTATCTACTGTATGCCCCCCGTAGCAAACCCCCACTCGATACCCCCACTCTATACCCCCACTTTTTCACTAGCTGTAGGAGAGGAGTAGTACCAGCAGGAACTTCTTGTGGATCCGTCGACGCCGCCATCCTTCACTGGCTTCCTAAACGGGCATCTTCATTTCCGATCGCACTTGTTTGTGATCCTTCACGCTGGCTGTGGCGTATGACATCATTGGTAATCTGCAGGCCGAAGTATGCGACATCGTACACAAGACGTAATAGATGATGACAGCTACTTATAAGCGGCGAGTATGCACATGGAAAAAGGGAACTGGGACGTCCGCTATACTTTGCCTTTCTTAGACTCATGCCTATCCTTCTTCGATAGCCTGCTGGTCACTGTGAATAGTAGGTTGTCCTAGTGTATACATTTGGGTGTCCTATCTGCCCACCCTGCTTCTGCTTTACCTGTCAAAGCCCTGCTCACGGCCAATCAAGGCCGTTCCATTAGACAAGGAAATGGAAAACAAAAAGAGGCCCCCTGTCTCCTGTCTGCTGCCTGCCGTCTCCTGTCATCGTCGCCCTGGACGACTACACCAGAAACGAGCCTGAGATTCAATTTGCGGCCGGTGTATTTTGGGAGCGTGCGTTGCCAGCCGGAGTGGCGCCCGGTGAAAAGTATCTATTTCGAGAGTGTGTATTGACGTGACACCCGGTGTCTGGAGTCTCAGTCTAAACGACTGCGAAGGTTGCACGTCGGGCTGAGCTCGGCTCCGAGCTCGACATGCGCGTTCTGCAAAGAAATCATTCATTCATGCAAGCAGGCGCACTTCGTCAGTTGGCATGTTCGCTATTCAATCCACGTTGCGGTCAGGATGTCGGGCGCGCGCCACACCGAGGCACGTTGCAGGCGATCGATCGGCGCAGGATTTTCTGCCCGCCCCACACCAAGCTCGCCGGATGCGGTGTAACGATGTACAACCTGCGCTGGGCCGATGACATCGATGACGCGGACGCCCAGGCCGCATCAGGCTGCACGGTGCACGCATATGGATTGATGGCGCGGGCGCACTATCACTCCGGCGCAGGGCAGGGCAGGGACTATTTTTGGCGATCGAGGGTGATCGATGCTTGCCCGATCTGGGCGGCGCCTGCCCACGATTGTATTATCGTATATTGCATGATGCGGAAGCGCGCGTCTGCGATGACGTGGGGACCCCGAGGCGCGGCGCGGGTTCTGTGACAGGCACGGCGGGTGACGGGGTGACGTCAGGGTTTAATAATGGACACTTTTGCTTATCGCGCGGTGGGGGACGCGGGCGATAGAGGCCGGTGCTCTGATGCGGGCGGGCCGGGTGGTGGTTGGGGGCCGAACGACCGCGTTTGGATGGAGGATGGACCGCGTTGGGATGGGAGATGGACGGATTGGGCGAGTATGTGATGGCGACGTTGACGGTCGTGGTTTGGAACGCCAGGGAGCGGTGCCGCAGCAGGGGCGTCGCCAGCCGGCAGGAGGCATACCAAGAGCGGGCGGACGGGGATGAGGAGGGCGTGCGGGAGGCAAGGCGGCGCCTCGCGTTTCGGGCCAGCTTTCGGCTCGCGTCACGCTGCGATAACGGGCGCGGGGACGTGTTTCCGTTTCTCGGTTGCGCGCGTGGGTCCAGAACGGCAGAACGCTGGGAGTGCGTGGGAAGGCGGGCGCGTGAAGATGGGAAACGCAGGAGGAGGCGGTGCCGCCGTGTTTGGGTGCGCGTGTGGACGGTGCGGAGTGCATGTCCGCTGCCGCACGCCGCGGTGTGCCATGGAAATGCGCAGGACGGTGGTGGGACACGGAGGAGGCTTATCGGGGACGCGAGGAGGAGGGAGGACCCCGGAGTGCGAGGATTGATGGGAGTGGCGCTGAGCGTAAAGTCGCACGGAGGGAGACAGGGCCCGCAGCGCGTCTTCCTCTTTCTGCGTCGAGCACTGCCGTTCCCGCTGTTGTACTTTCCCGTCCCCTTCCCTTTTTCTCTCGCTGTCGCCGTAAGCGTAAGCCCGCGTCTCTCTGCTCTCTCTCTCATCTTCCCATATCTGTATCTCTCTCTGTAACTCACCTGCCGCTCTTTTAGCTCTCCCCGCAGTGCCATGTCTTACCGCAGACGCGACGCAAGCCAGGGCTACTCCAGCGCCGACGCCTACCGCGCAGTCCCCGCCACCTCGCCGTCCTTCGTCACCGCCCGTGTCGGCGCCGCCAACAGCAACACCCCCTCGTCCTCCGACGAGGACGCCCACCTCACGTCTCCTGCCGTGTCCCCCCAGCCCGGGCCCATCGCCCAGTCCTTCGTTCGAGCACGCGCCGGCTCAGCTGCGCGCCATCGTCGTCGCGACTCAGCCGACGAGCGCGATATCGTGGACGGTCCGCCGCTCTCCCCGCCGCGTCCCCAGTTCTTCGCAGTCCCCGACCGCTCCTCGTGGTCCTCCAACGACCAGGAGCCCGCAAGCGACTCTGACGCCTCGTCCGCGGCGAACCTCGCTGGCCGCGGCTCGGGTCGTCGCATGTCTGTCGAGGGCAACCCCGTGAACCGCGTGCAGATGCGCTCTGTGACGCAGCCCATGCTGGCCACTCGCGGCCCCCCTCGCGCAGCCAGCCCCCGCCAGCGCAATCACCGGCGCAGCAGCATGGCGACCGAGTATGCTTATAGCGCCGGCATTGCAACCGAGGAGGAACTCGCCTCCCCGACGTCGTCCATCAATGAGCACAACCCCTTCGGCACGCCCACGGACACGCCCCGCAACAGCCTGTATGGTGGGCAGGCGCCCAACCTCGCCGCTGCCGCAAACGCAGCGCTGGGCGATAAGAAAACGCCCCCGTCAGCGTACTCCTTTCCCTTCCAGTCGCACCCCGGCAACCCCGACCCTGGACTGTCGGTTCCCGGCCGTCGCACGTCTGCCGAGTCGCTCCGCTCCCGCACGGCTCCTCCAGGCGTGGGTGCGCCGTTGTCACCCAACGCAACCAACGCGACGAACAACAACCCGCTGACGCCTCTGGGATCTGCAATGGGGACGACCTACCCAGTGCCCGCGAATGGGCAGAGCTACGGCCTGCTGAACGACGTGGAGGAGCTCGGGCGCCCATTTGCGCCGTTCATGGGCGACGGGAGCGACCGCAGCCAGACGCCGCCGAGCCCCAACGCCAGCCAGAGCCAGCTGTACCGCGGTAGCGCCGCCGGTGCGATGCAATATGGAGGTACGTACTGGTGCCATGGCTACCTTGTGAACAGAAATGGTGCTCCGGGGCTTCCACGCACAGGATCGACAGCGGCGATGTCGATGCGTGCGCCGTTACGTCGAGGCTGTGGGCGCCGCGCGTGCCGTATGTGTACCCGCTCGCAGGC